AATAATAGGCAAAGGTACTAATGGGGCCCTCAAGTAAGGTCGGGGGCTATGCAACTGACATTCAGGGCAGGAGGCACAATAGCGCTGGACCTCTGCACATATTCCTGGCCAATAAAACCTTCTTGGGACTCTATCCAGTGTCTTGTTTACTCCTAGATGTCCCCCAAATAGATGACTGTGAGCTAACTCTAGTACTGCCATTGTGTGTTTCCATGGGACTAAGAGTTGCTCTACTTCTTCCCCTCGTTTTTGCTCTATCCTGTACAACAGATCACATAATATGGCCTTGGGCCTTTGATCTTTCCTTCCACTGGTACACCATTTATTTCTACTACTTCCTCCACATTCGGGTCATTGGCTTGTTCCTGCCCGAAATTCTCACATGTGGTACCAATCTGACCTAATTCTAGGGGGCCTATTTCTACTTTGCCCCTTGGGTTGCTCCTACTTGGGCTAGGAACCACCTCCGAGTCCTCACTGGCCTGAATTATCTCCTGGCCTCCTGAACGGGTTTGCCTACCCACAGGGGAGGTTTTTTGGTTCTCTGCTAGAATCCTGGTCCCTAATCTTTTATCTGCCCTCCTTTATCTGCCTAGACTTTTGGGGTTTCCCGGGGGATGAGAATAACTCTGGGGCAAATTCGGCAAACATTGGGGTGAGGCTATCTGTAGGTGCCTCCATCTCAGCCCAGGGGTTGCTACCCTCCCCTGGCTCTACTGGGGGAGTAAACTCTCAAACCCGGGGAAGTCCCTATTAAGACAGGGTAGGGGAGCTTGGGGACCACCCCTGCAGTCACCTTGGTAGTATTCCCCTGTATCTCAATCCGTACCAGGATTGTGGGGTAGAAATTTATGGTGCCATGAACGCACGTTACCCCTGTGGTTTTGGCCTGGGTTAGTTGGTCTTGCCCCACCAACTTCCCCGAAACCAGCGTGACAGCACTCCCGGAATCTATTAATGCTATGGTCTTAATACCATTAATTTTTACTGATCTTGTATACCCATGCGAGGTCATTGTGAACCCTACCAGGCCGATTAGGCCACATTGCTCCCCAAGATCCTCCAGATTACACTGCATAGGCTTTTCCCTGTTGGGGCATTGGGCTGCTATATGCCCCAATTCCCACACTCGTAACACTGCCCCCTTATTCTGGTTGTCATCCTCTGTCTGGGGCTATTTGGCCGCCCCCCCCAGCCCTCTCTTCCCAAACCCCCAGGTCCCTTCTTGGTCTCAGGCCATTCCTCGGTGTCTTTCCTCCCCATTACAGTTCTCCTATAGTTCTCAGACAGTCCGGGGTTTGATGTTGGTTTCCTGGCTTGCCATGTCTCCCCGCCTGGGGTCTGGAACAGTTCACGGGCTGCCAGCTGTCTTTCCACAAGGGAGACCAACTCATCGTAGGTGGAGGGGTCATTCTGGCCAACCTAAGCCGGAGGCCTGGTGGTAGCCCCCTCATATACCGATCCAGTACCGGGAGCTCCATCATCTTCCCAGAGCTGAGGGCGTCAGGGCACAGCCATTTCTGGGTCAGGTGGATCAGGTCAAACAATTGCGATCAGGGTGTCTTGTCCTCCGTATACTGCCACTCATGGAACCTCTGGGCTCGCAACGCCGTCATTACTCCGGATCTGGCCAGGATCTGTGCCTTCAGCTGGGGGTAATCTGCTGCAGTCTCTGCGGCCATATCGTTGTAGACCTTCTGGGCCTCCCCACACAGGAATGGGGGAGCAAGGATACCAGACCACTGATCTTGGGGCCAGGCCTCCCACAGGGCTGCTCTTTCAAAAGCCAGGAGCTATGCCTCCACATCATTGCAGACAACTTTTTATTTCAGAAGGTTGAAAAAGCTACTAGGGGGGAAGCTGTTCTAGACTTGATTTTAACAAATAGGGAGGAACTCGTTGAGAATTTGAAAGTAGAAGGCAGCCTGGGTGAAAGTGATCATGAAATCATAGAGTTTGCAATTCTAAGGAAGGGTAGAAGGGAGAACAGCAAAACAGAGACAATGGATTTCAGGAAGGCAGATTTTGGTAAGCTCAGGGTACATCTACACTACAGGGGGGAGTCGATTTAAGATACGCAAATTCAGCTACGTGAATAGC